AGATCTGGGAAAGGAGGATCCCAATCTTCTGGAAGTTGGGATTCTTCCCTCAGGATCTGGGAAAGGAGGGTCCCAATCCTGTGGGATCCCAGCTCCTTCTCTTGGGATCCAGGAGGGGAAGCAAGGCTGGGAGAGGCGGATCCCGACCCCCTGGGTCCTTGACTCCTTCCCTCAGGATCTGGGAAAGGAGGATCCTGATCCCCTGGGATCTCGGCTTTGCCTCCAGTAATTCCCTCAGGATCTGGGAAAGGAGGATCCTGATCCCCTGGGATCTCGGCTTTGCCTCCAGTAATTCCCTCAGGATCTGGGAAAGGAGGATCCTGATCCCCTGGGATCTCGGCTTTGCCTCCAGTAATTCCCTCAGGATCTGGGAAAGGAGGATCCTGATCCCCTGGGATCTCGGCTTTGCTTCCTGTGAGGATTTGGAAAGGAGGATCCCGATCCTCTTGGATCTCGACTTTGCCTCCAGTAATTCCCTTGGGATCTCAGAGAGGAAGATCCCGTTCCTCTGGGATCTCGGCATCGCCTCCAGTTCTTTCCCTTAGATCTGGGAAAGGAGGATCCCAATCTTCTGGAAGTTGGGATTCTTCCCTCAGGATCTGGGAAAGGAGGGTCCCAATCCTGTGGGATCCCAGCTCCTTCTCTTGGGATCCAGGAGGGGAAGCAAGGCTGGGAGAGGAGGATCCCGACCCCCTGGGTCCTTGACTCCTTCCCTCAGGATCTGGGAAAGGAGGATCCTGATCCCTGGGACCTTGGGGGAGATTCTTCCTTTGGGATGTGGAAAAGGAGGATCCTGATCCCTGGGACCTTGGGGGGAATCCTTCCCTCGGGTTTAGGGAAGGGAGGATCCTACTCTCCAGGACCTTGGGGGGGATCCTTCCCTCAGGATCTGGGAAAGGAGGATCCAGATCTCAGGGACTTTGTGGGGGATCCTTCCCTCGGGTTCTGGGAAAGAAGGATCCTGATCCCCAGGACCTTGGGGGGAATCCTTCCCTCGGGATCTGGGAAAGGAGGATCCAGATCCCCGGGACCTTGGCTCCTTCCCTCAGGATCTGCAGGCTAGGAGAGGAGGATCAGGATCCTCTGGGATCCCCCACACTCCCGCTCCATCCCCTCTGCTCTGCAGGGACCGGGAAACCCCGGGTTTCCTCTGGGATAAGGCTCTACCCAAATCCTGACCTTTCCCAGGAGGAGGGAGAGGAGGGGATGAGAGGATGGGGATCGGAGCTCATCCAGGGATTTGGGATCATTTTGGAAAAGGGATTCCAGGGCCAAGGCCAGGCTGGACAGGGCTTGGAGCAACCTGGGATGGAGGGAAGGGCTGGGGTTGGAATGGGGTGGGATTTAAGGTCCCCTCCCCCTTGTTCTGCCCCTCCAGCCCTTTCCCAAGTCCCTCTCCAGCTCTCCTGGAGACCCTCTAGGCTTGGGAAGGGGCTCCAAGGATTCCATGGAGGTTTCTATTCTCCGGTTGGACATTCCCAGCTCTCCCAGGCTGCAACCAGAGCAGCTCCATGTCCCTCCTTTCTTTCTGCCCCTGGAATTCCGCTGGAGGGGCATGCATCGAACCATCCATGGATCCACCCATCCATAGATCCACCCATACATAGATCCATCCATGCATCCATCCCTCCATCCATCCATCCATCCATCATCCATCCATCCATCATCCATCCATCCATCCATCTCACATTTCTGTCCCCTCCACCACGTCCCTCCCCAGGGCCACCTTTCTGTCCCTCCCCGGTGACACATTTGGGTCCCTCCTGAGGCCACTTTCCTGTCCCCTCCTCACAGCCCCATTAGGGCCACACTTTCATCCCCCCCAGGGCCACATTCCTGTCCCTCAGGGCCACATTCCTGTCCCTCAGGGTCACATTTCTGTCCCCCAGGGCCACATTTCTGTCCCCTTGGGTCCCTCCTGAGGCCACTTTCCTGTCCCCTCCTCACAGCCCCATTAGGGCCACACTTTCATCCCCCCCAGGGCCACATTTCTGTCCCTCAGGGTCACATTTCTGTCCCTCAGGGTGACATTTCTGTCCCTCAGGGTCACATTTCTGTCCCCTCCAGGGTCACATTTCTGTCCCTCACGGCCACATTTCTGTCCCTCAGGGTCACATTTCTGTCCCTCAGGGTGACATTTCTGTTCCCCAGGGCCATGCTCTTGTGCCACACAGGGTCACATTTCTGTCCCCTCCAGGGTCACATTTCTGTCCCCTCCAGGGCCACATTTCTGTCCCTCAGGGTCATGCTCTTGTCCCACCCAGGGTGACATTTCTGTCCCCCAGGGCCACATTTCTGTCCCTCAGGGTCATGCTCTTGATCCATCCATCCATCCATCATCAATCCATCCATCCATCCATCCATCCACCCATCCATCCATCCATCCATCATCCGTGGCTCCATCCCTCCACCCTTTAACCCTGCCCTATTTTCCATGCCTAAATTCCCGATGGAGCAGAGGATGGAGCCGTGATTTTCCCAGGGTCAGGACACCAAGCTCAGCCCCCTCCAGCATTTGGGGTCACAAAACATTCCTGAGGGATCCAGAGGGATCCACAGGGGGATCGGTGGGAGCAGAGGAGCCTCCAGTCAGATTCCTGAGGGATCCAGGAATCCTGAGCCATTTTTTTCCCCCTTAAAGCATTTAAATATTCCCTGTCAGCCAAATCCCAAATATTTACAATCCCTCGGAGCGGCTCAGAATTCCAGCCTGGCGTTGGGCGGCCGTTGGGGAAGCTCATCCCAGGGCTGATCCCAGGGCTCATCCCGACTGCCCCGAGGTACTGGGAACGGGAAAGAAGGTCATTATCCCGTTGGGAAAGGGGGTGGGAAAAGGGTGAAAAAATCAGGGAAATCCAGGGATTATTGGGGAAAGAACCAAAGGAAAAACGGGGCTGGTTTGGGATCCAAAGGAATTTTTGGTAATTAAGAATTTAATTTTTTAAAAATTCCTTATTGAATATTTAAATTATCCATTGACAAGGGGAAAAAAAAAAAAAAAAAAAAAAAAACAAAAACAAAACCTCTGGGAGATGATGGTGGGAAGGGGAATCCTGGATTTATTATCCCTGTTTTTTTCCTGGGTCCCAGCCAGGGATCCTCCTGACCCCGAGGCTCTGGATGTCCCTGTGTCCCATCCCGGGGATCACCGGGGGCCACGGATTCTGGGAATGGGGTCACCGGGAATGGCGTCACTGGGAATGGGATCACCGGGAATGGGATCACTGGGAATGGGATCACCAGGAATGGGATCACTGGAAACGGGATCACCGGGAATGGCGTTACTGGGAATGGGATCTCACCGGGATCAGGATCACTGGGAATGGCATCACTGGGAATGGGATCTCACTGGGAATGGGATCACTGGGAATGGGATCACTGGGAATGGGATCTCACCGGGATCAGGATCACTGGGAACGGGGTTACTGGGAATGGGATCATTAGGAACGGGATCACTGGGAATGGGATCACCGGGAACGGGATCACTGGGAACGGGATCACCAGGGTCAGGATCACCATGGGGCAGATCCAGGTGCTCCATGATCCCGATCCCGAGGGACTGGGGAATCTGGGATGAGGCTGCTCCACCCCAGCGGAGCAGAGCTGGCACTTGGTCCCCACACCCTGGGACACATCCGGGTCCCCCACGTCCACATCCGGGTCCCTCTGACCACATGTCTGTCCCTCAGCGTCACATTTGGGTCCCTCTGACCACATGTCTGTCCCTCAGGGTCACATTTGGGTCCCTCTGACCACATTTCTGTCCCTCAGGGTCACATTTCTGTCCCTTCCAGGGCCACATTTCTGTCCCTTCCAGGGTCACATGTCTGTCCCTTCCAGGGCCACATTTCTGTCCCTTCCAGGGCCACATTTCTGTCCCCTCCAGGGCCACATTTCTGTCCCTCAGGGTCACATTTCTGTCCCTTCCAGGGCCACATTTCTGTCCCCTCCAGGGCCACATTTCTGTCCCTCAGGGTCACATTTTTGTCCCACCCAGGGTCACATTTCTGCCCCTCAGGGTCACATTTCTGTCCCTCAGGGTCACATTTCTGTCCCCTCCAGGGCCACATTTCTGTCCCTCAGGGTCATGCTCTTGTCCCACCCAGGGTCACATTTCTGTCCC